AGCTTCCCAACGTTTTACAGGGGTTGGAGGAGTGATGGGGAGCTCCTCCCTGCAGGAACAGGGCAAGGCAGCACAAAGGGGCGTGTCTGGGAGAGGGATCTGTGTGTGTGTCCCGCTGTGGTCACTGTGTGATCCAAGGAACGGCTCCAAGGGCTGTTCTGGGAAGGACTCCGGCGGCAGGTCGTGTCACCTGAGCTGTGGGAACATCTGAATAACCCCCTGTCCCCCTCTCTTTGTCTCTCCCAGACCTGCAGCCACGTGTCAGTGGTGGAGAGGGACGTTGTGCTGATGGATCTCCGATAAAACCTCCTGCCTTATCCGCTCACAGGAACCTCCCGCCTTCCTCTCAGCCTTAGGGATTGGTTTGCTCCCTCCCGTAGCAGATGATTCCCACCCCTGAATGAATCACATCCCTGACCTCCTTGGGAGCACGTGGAGCCTCGGTGCCTGGAGCTTGCTGAGGTCCAAGGTGTGGGGAAAAGCCAGCTGGGAATCCCGAGGCAGGAGCCGACACTAAAGTAGTTGTTTAACACTCTTAACCCGTGGCTGGAACGGCCTCCTGGGGAGGCTCCCCGTGATTTGCTGCAACCACGAGGTGTGGAAACCTCTTCAAGTGCTTTTGGGACTTGCCCAGATTAACCTTTCCTGTAGTTTAGGATCCAACCCTTCTAACCCCTCTCCCCCATCACGAGCTCAGCCCCGCTGAGCTGCTCCTGCTTCCTGGTACTCGGATCTTTGCGTGGGGAGAGAGGGGACTCAGCTCCTTTGGGACCCCCATTTCAGGGATGAAGGTGCCTGGCCAGGGCACAGCTTTGCAGGATCTCCCCCATCCCAGCAGTGTTTAGGGGTGTCTGGTGACGTTATTCCCTTCCCTGGCTCTGGGATCCTCTCAGCCCGTGGTGTTACTGTGGAGGAGCATTGGGTGTCCCAGCTGCCATCGCTGCTCCCAGGCGGAATTCCAGCTGCTCTGGCCACTTCCATCCTCCAGGATCCCACAGCCTGATTGCCTCTGAACCTCCCAGAGCAGCTGGAAGGCCGTCCTTGCCAAACCCAAGCTCCTGGTGACGTCACTGCCGTGTGGTGCTGCCGGATCCCGCTCCGAGGTGCTTTAGTCGGGTGCCAAGCAGAGAATTCCCTTCCCCTGCGCTCCAGGCTGAGCCTCCACCCTCACAGGGTGGGGAAGCAGCAGAATTCCAAGGTGGGAGGCAGCTGGGCCCCGGGGGCTGAGCGTGACCCACACCCCGCAGCCTGCGGAGGGCTGGTCGGCACATGGCAGTGCAGGGATGGGGGAGGCTGGAGCTGCCTCCCCACCTGGCAGGAAAACATCCCTGTCCTCGTGTCCCTGTGCATCCAACACCCCTCAAGTGTTCTGCAGAACACACGTGGATCAGATTATCCGGGCTGGGTCTCTCGTGCCACTTTGTTTTCTTTGAGCTCCCCCGGTGGGTTGAGGGGAGGGGGGGTCTGGCAGGGAGGGATCCGTTTGGTTTTGGGGGCTGGGGTGTGTTTGCAGCAGCTCCTGCGTGACAGAGGGCTGCTCCCAGCTTTTCCAAAGCCAGCTTAGGGAACAGGGAGGTGGGAGGGAAGCGTGTGTGTGGGGGGGGGCCTTCAGGACATCTGTGGGAACTCGTTTTCAGACCTAATTAATTTGAACCGTGCTCAGGAGGGGGTTGTTTGGTGTGGGATTGTTCATCCCTTAGCACGGAGCAGCTCCCCCAGAGCACTGCAGGGACACGAGGTGGGAAATCCCATCTTTCCAAGCAGCAATTCTTTCAGTTTGGTGGAGAATATCCCAAGGAATTTATCCCAATTCCACATCCCTCCAGGTCTCAGGTCTGAGCTGCCTCGAGCACCCGCCAGAGAGTGGAGCTGGTGGCACATCAGCACTTTTGTGTCATCCCAGTGACAGAGAAACCTTCACAGGGAATATTCCACCTTCCTCAGAGCGGGAAGGGTCCAGTCCCTCAGTCAGGGCTCAGCTCCCACCCCACTCCCAGCCCTGCTCCCTGAGCTCCTGGCTTTTCCATCACGTTTTTTCCCTTGGAGTCCCTGAGCCATCAGTTTGTGTGTCGGGATAGCTGTCGATATCCTGGCTCCACCAACCCACCCTGGCTCTCCAGCTGTGCCAGATGTCACTGTTCCACCTTAAAATCACCCAAATCGGGGTTGGATTTGGCAAGAGCTGACCCCAAAGACTTTGTAGGAAGGGTTTAGTGTCCGTACCGACGTGGATTGAGCGTCTGGGGCGTTCCCGCAGGCAGGGAGTGATGTTCATCTCCTCCTCAGGATGGGAACAGACCCGGATCGCTCCGATCGTGCCTCTTCTCCCCGGTTTGCCCATCCCCGGGAGTTTCCAGGCGTGCCCGTTCCCCTGAGGGTGGTGCCGGGGGCTGGACCGAGCGCCGGGAGTTTTGAAAGCCGAGGCTTTTCCCCCTGCTCGTCCATCCCGCGGGATGCCTGGCGTTCCTGAGAGCATCCCGGGCCCGCCGGCGGCTCCATTGGCTGCGGGGGCCAAACGTTGCCTTTTTAGGCTGCGCCTTTCGGGGCTTGCGCTGCCGCCGGCCCCGCTCCAGCCCCGCCGGGCACGGGGGGGATCCCGCCGGGATGGGCAGCCTGGAGCCCACCTGCGTGTCCCCAGGGATCCGGGCAGGGAGGAGCGGTGGGACCGGGAGCTGCAGAGCGGGGTTGACGCTCCGGGTGTCTCTGAGGTTTTGGGTTTATCCACCCACCTCCAGCCTCTGCCTCCATCCAACCCCTTTTCCCACCCCCAGTGCTGGGGTTGGGGTTAATTTTTTGTAAGGTGGTTTTGGTTTTGGGGGTTTTTTTGTTGTTTTTTTTTTTTTTTTTTTTTTTTAACAGCCTTTCTCCTCGGTCACCCAAGGGATCTGGGGTGGGATGTGAGGCAGCACAAGGACCCCGGGGTTGAGGGTTTGGGGGGCACACCAAGTGCATGGCCAATGGGACAAATCCAGCCTGAGATTTCCCGGGGAAAGGGAATAACCAGGACAGAACCATGTCCGGGGGACACTGGAGGTGTGAACAGGCTGGGAGTGCTGGGGAGACACCGTGTCCCATGGAGTGACAGCCCTGAGTGTGCTCCCTCCTTCCAGGACAGAGCCATCCCTGGGGAGTGTTAGAGGTGTGAAGAGTCTGGAGCGCTGGGGGGACTCCGGAGTGACAGCCCAGAGTCTGCTCCTTCCCCCCGGGGCACAGCCATCCTGGGGGACACGGGAGGTGTGAACAGCCTGGGAATTGTGGGGGGACACCATGTCCCTGTCCTGCCCTGTGGGGTGACAGCTCAGACTCTGCTCTGCTCCCCAGAACAGAGGGGACACTGGAGGTGTGAACAGTCTGGAGTGGCGGGGGGGGACACTGTGTGTGACAGCCCCGGTTCTGCTCCCTCCTCCCAGGACGGAGCCATCCCTACGGGATGTTAAAGGTGGGAACAAGCTGGTGTGGACACCGTGTCCCTTCCCTGCCCCACGGGGTGACAGCCCAGAGTCCTCTCCCTGCAGGGAGGACCTTTGGGTCCCGTGGTGGTGGTGGTGGTGGTGGGACCTGCAGCTCCTTCCCCTGCTCCGGTGCCAGGATGTCCCTGAGCACAGGGAGCATCCCGAGCCTCATTTTCCCCGTGTGCCTCTCCCCGAGCTCCTGGGGGTTTCTGGGCACCTCTCCTGCCTCCCCTGGGTGCTCCAAAGAGCTCCCGGTGCAGGGCCCTTGCCCTTAAAAAGGCAGCAGGAGTTTGGGAGCTGCTGGTTGGCCTCTGCCAGGGCCAGGGCCTGGCAGCTCCACTCCTGCTGCCAAGGGCTGGGGGTGGCTGCGGCCCCCCCGGGCTGTGTCTGGGCAGGGGGGCCGGGGGACAGCACCCACAGAGCCCCCAGGGGGGCCCCAGGCTCAGCCCATCTCCCAAATCCTCCCGGGCACCCACAGTGTGGGGCTGGGATTCAGACTCACAACTCCTGGCCCGGCTCAGGCCGAGGATTTGGGGGAATTGAGGGGCTCTGGGACAGCAAAAGCCCAAAAATGGGGGCGGAGAGAGAGGAAACCGCAGGGAGAGGCATCTCCAGAGCGTGGAATTCCAGGGATCCGGGGGAGCTGAGGCCGGGAGGAGGCGATGCACCGACCCAGGGCCCTTCCAGCGCTGCCAAATTCCCACCCCAGCTCCGGGGTGTCCCCACGGCGGAGCCCCCACACCCAACCTCCCCCCCGGGTGGGGTTTCTCCACGCTCTCCCCGGGAACTGGAGTTACTTCCACCTCCCTTTTCCCAGCCTGTCACTTATAAGGACTTGTGTCTCACTTGTTTATCGGAGCGGAGCATAAAAGGAACAGACTCACAACTGGGCCGTCGCCTCCCAAAGCATCCCCACATACATTTTCCTACAATAATTAAACTGCTGGGTCCTACCACCAGCCCGAGGTCAATTTAATGAAATAAAACACCTTATATGGCCATATGGCCAACACACCATCACTGAGCCTATTTAGGGTCTTTGTTTAGAGAGGATCCGCCTCTGAGGTTCCTGGGGCTCGCTGGTATTTATACCCAGGGCGCAGCGGGGCTCGGTCCCAGAGGAAAGGAGCTCTCGCCTCTGCGGTGAGTACTGCCCTGCCCTGCCCTGCTTCCCAGCTCCTGGGAGGAGAGGGGAAGGAATAACACCCCGGGGGGTGGGAGGGGGAGTTTTTGGGGTGCCCCAGCCTTCATGGGGCGGCCCCACCTGGGTTTGCACGGCACAGAGGGGGTGCCGACCCCCCCAGGGGCTTCCTGGAGGTGACCAGGGCTGGGCTGCGGCCAAGGCGGGTTCTGCTATTCCAGAAATCCCTGGGATTTGGGATTTTTTTTTTGCTTTCTGGGCTGTGGCCTGAAGCGGGTTGTGCTCTTCCAGAAATCCCTGGGATTTGGAGGTTTTTGCCTCCTGGGCTCCTGCGAGGTTTTTTTTTGCTGCTTCCCTCCGGATTTGGGGGCGCATCCCTCGGTGCAGAGTGGGAAAGCCCCAAGGAAGGGCTGGGCTTTTTCCCATTTTTGGGAGCAGATGATAGCAGCAGGAGGCTGCTGAGACAGAACCCGATGAGGGGGCATCACCTGCCACCCCTCTGCCCGCTTCTGGGGGGCACCAGCTGGGCTTGGAGCTCCCCAGGGGGGGTCTTTGGCACGGATTTTGGGCACCGCCTGGAGAAGGACGGAGAAGCAGCACCAGCGTGGAGCAGCACAGGGGGGAATGAGCATCACCCCACTCCCAACATCCCCACAGCGGGGTCAGACTGGGTGCCCAGCCCTCGGCACGGCCCACGGAGAACTTTGAGGGGCTGCCCCTTCCTTCCCGAGGACTCCAACCCTTCCAAACCCAAAAGCCGGACGCGGTGCCGGACGGGATAACCCCCCGTCTCCCATCCCCCCCTTAACGCCGTCTTTCCCCCTTCCCCCCCGGTCCCAGCTTTTCCCCCAGGTCCCCCCTGAGCACCAACCGCTCCCGGCCCCACCATGTGCGAGGAGGAAACCACCGCCCTGGTCTGTGACAACGGCTCCGGCCTCTGCAAGGCCGGCTTTGCCGGCGACGACGCCCCGCGCGCCGTCTTCCCCTCCATCGTGGGCCGGCCCCGCCACCAGGTGGGTACCCAGGGGGGGAGTTAAGGGGCACCCCCCACCCTGCTTGGAGCCCTGCAATGAGCTTAACGAGGCCTCGTCTCCCCTGCTGGCGTTAGGGCGTCATGGTGGGCATGGGGCAGAAGGACAGCTACGTGGGCGACGAGGCGCAGAGCAAGAGGGGCATCCTCACGCTCAAGTACCCCATCGAGCACGGCATCATCACCAACTGGGATGACATGGAGAAGGTGAGACCCGCCCGCCCCAGCTCTGGGATGGGGAGAGGGCGCCAGACCCAGCTCGGGGGAGGCCCCAATTGTCCTTTGCCCGCCGTAGATCTGGCACCACTCCTTCTACAACGAGCTGCGCGTGGCCCCCGAGGAGCACCCGACCCTGCTCACCGAGGCCCCCCTCAACCCCAAGGCCAACCGGGAGAAGATGACGCAGGTGAGGGGCTGAGGGACCCCCCGGGGGATGGGGATGGACCCCCGGAATCCGCAGGGAGGGCTGGGGGGTTTGGGGTTTTGTGGGGTGGAGGAGTGGGTTGGGGGGGAGGGAAGTTTGGTGTGGGATAAGGGCAGAGATCCCGGTGGGAAGTTCACTTGTTGTGTAGCCCCAGGGGTGTCTCCAGAGCGTGGCCCCGTGGATTGGCCACCCAAGGCGCTGCCCCACGTGTTGTCCACGCCATGCACAGCCCCACATGACGTGACTCACGTTCCCCTGGGATGTGCTGACCCACGTTTTCCCACACCACACACCCACCCACGTGTTTTCCACGCGTTTTCCACCATCCACTTGTCCTATTCCATGCACTGACCCCCATATCCACGCAACCCAACCATCCTTGTGTTTTCCCACGCAGGGCCCTGACCCTGGGGGGGCACAGATCCCATGGGTCAGGGTGGGATGTGCTGGGGACCCCTGTGCTCCCCCTTAACCCTCTCTCTCTCTCCCTCCCAGATCATGTTTGAAACCTTCAACGTCCCCGCCATGTACGTCGCCATCCAGGCCGTCCTCTCCCTCTACGCCTCCGGCCGCACGACCGGTGAGTCGGACACGCCTTTCCCCGGGGTTCACCCATGATGGGGAAGGCACCAAACCACCTTGGAGCCCCCTCCCTCACCTCCCTTCCCTCCCCAGGCATCGTGCTGGACTCCGGGGACGGCGTCACCCACAACGTGCCCATCTACGAGGGCTACGCGCTGCCCCACGCCATCATGCGCCTGGACCTGGCCGGGCGGGACCTCACCGACTACCTCATGAAGATCCTCACCGAGAGGGGCTACTCCTTCGTCACCACCGGTACGGGGTCAGGGCGAGGGGTTGTGGGGTCAGGGCAGGGGGTTGTGGGGTCAGGGCGGGGGGTTGTGGGGTCACGGGGATCCTGCGGTGCTGCCACGGCCCCAGGTTGAGCCCCCCCGGCCGTCACCTCCTGCAGCCGAGCGGGAAATCGTGAGGGACATCAAGGAGAAGCTCTGCTACGTGGCCCTGGACTTCGAGAACGAGATGGCCACGGCCGCCTCCTCCTCCTCGCTGGAGAAGAGCTACGAGCTCCCCGACGGGCAGGTCATCACCATCGGCAACGAGCGCTTCCGCTGCCCCGAGACCCTGTTCCAGCCCTCCTTCATCGG